AAAAAAAAAAAAAAAAAAAAAGATGTGTGCTTGAAATAAACAATATTACAATTCAGAAGTAATATTTTCAAACTCCAAAGTTGTTATCACTGTCCTAAATAGTAGTGAAGAACTGTTTTGTTGCACTAATTAAATTAACACAGGTTGAATATCTCATATCTAAAATGCTTGGAGCCATAAGTATTTTGGATTTTTTTGTTTTGAAATATTTATGTATATATAGTGAAATATATGGGGCTTGGAACCCAAGACTAAACACAAAATTATTTATGTTTCATGTATGCCTTATACACAGCTTGAAGGTAATTTTATACACTATTTTTAGTCTACCTTCTTGTGTGTGTGTGTGTGTGTGTGTGTGGTGTCGAGGTTCAAACCTTAGGCCTTGCATATGGATATGGTGGGCAAGCACTCTACCACTGAGCTACATCCCCAACCCTACATGTGCCTGGATGTTGACTACAACTGAGCACATGAGGTCAGGTATGGATTTCTCCACTTGTGAGGCAATGCCAGCATCCAACAAATTTTGGTATTTGGAACATTGTGGATTTCAAATTTCCAAATTAGGGGTGTTCAACCTGTCATGATGACGGGTAGGGACTGGAGAGAAAAAAAAAGGAAATTAATGTGTGGTTTTGTTAATTATCTTCTCTTTTTTTTTTGCATCAGAAATCGAACTCAGGACCTTGTGTTTGCCAGCCAGGTGCTGTCTGTGCTGCTGAGCTATCTCACTGGCCCTTGTTAATTATCTTGACATAGAATTCCTTTATATATCATTTGGTGTGGTAGAATTGGCATAATGCATAAGAACAAGCCTTTACCAGTCAATAATTGTTCTAAGGCATGTGATTTACCCTGTAACATATCTGCACCAGTTTTTGGTGGTTTTTTTTTCAGACAGGATCTTACTATGTAATTGAAGCTTGCTTTGAACTTGCTATGTAGTCCCTGCTGACCTCAACTTTGCTATGTAGTCCACATTTCCCTCAAACTCCTGATCCTCCCTCATCAGCCTCCCAAATGCTGGGATTGCAGGCATGCACCATCATACCTGTTTTCTTCATCAGTTTAATAATGATTAATAATGATTTTATAGTAGAGTTCTGTCTTACTTACTTTCTTATTGCTGGGACAAAGTACCTGAAACCCAAAGTTAAAGGAGGAAAGATTTACTTTTACCTAGCATTTTGTGAAGGTTTCAGTCCATAGTCAGTTGGCTCCAACGCAGGGATGCATGGCAGAGGGGCAGGGCAGAGGAGAAACAGTCCATGTGTGGCAAGCAGGAAGCAGTATACAACAAAGCAGGGAGCCTCCCTTTCCCTTTCATTCCATTCATGCTATAAGCCTATTAATTGGTGTCACTCACCCCCAGGTTGGGGCTTCCTATTATCTATCCAGAACTATGTTAAACCAGTCAGTGGATTAATTCACTCCCTTAATCCATATTCACATAACCTGGATCCATCCCTGAAAAAGCCCCATCTATGACCTTGTGAGGCTTTGGGGGGAGATCTAGATACAAACCATAATAGGTTTCATTGCCACCCTCCTTTTTAGAGACAGGATCTCACCCTGTAATTCATACTGGCCTTGAACTCACTATGTAACCTAGGCAACCCTTGAACTTGCCAAGATCCTCCTGCCTCAGCCTCCTGAGTGCTGGGATTACAGGTGTGCTCCAGCATGCCCAGGTTGTTTTTTGTCTATTACCTTTTTTGATACCTATATCCTGCCTTTATTACTGTCTCTCAGAATGATCTAAGAGCCTGTCTGTCTGTCTGTCT